TTTTAACATTTCCATTATTATGTTTGTAAGGATTTAGTAAGAAACTAAACAGTATGTTTGCCCTTTTTGTTGCAGTTCTAAACAGATCAAATTGAACTCGCTGGACCCGATATTGGAGACCCAAGAGCAACATGAAAACATAATCCCTAATGTTGCAAATTTGCAGACAGAAATGCTAAATTTACATCTTGTTATAGATAATTATAAGAAAAGACTAAATAATACCTCTAGTTTATTATCAAAATATAAGAAAAAATGTAAAAGTTTAAGCTCTAGCTGTGTGTAAAAAAAAGTGAATTTCTTTTGCTAAGAGAGCAAATTAAGCATAAGACCGTAAGTGTTACTGTCTCAAAAACCACTTGTTTTGACCAAGCACACTATCATTTTAGTATTCCGAAAAGAATTTATAATAGGTACTATGTTTTAGGTTGGGTATGTAGTTCACTGCCACATGATAAATGTAAAAAAATTGTATGTAGCTTAGATAATGATTATAGTTTAGAAAATACACAAATAGAGAATGCCAAGAGAGTTTCAGACATTATCAACAAAATTTTCAATGAAAATATAGACAATTATTTAAAAATTTCTCTAAACAATATTAAAGGTAGATTAATTTTAAACGTATATGCACAAATAAATATTCCTAAATATGATGAATGTATAAGATTATTTTTAGACAAGTATTTCAACGTTCTGCTAAAAGCATACGTAAATAACTCTATAAATTTGAAATGTTGAACTTGAACTTGAAAATTAAAGAAAATTTCACATTCCTAATGTACTTAGTTTTATTTCAAAACCCCCAAGAAATCTTCAGAAATTATTATCTACGTTTTGTTTCTAGTACAGTGTAAAATTGTACAACATTTTCAAATTCTGTTTAAAAACTACGTACAAACAACGAGTTTTGCATAGTTCACTTTTTCATCAACTCATGCTACTAGATGGCGCTATTTTGACAGTTGCCATTCCAGTGTATAGAAACTGTCGAGAGCTGCAAGTATTTTAAACCGTAAGGGTTTATAAAGTATTTGGTAATACATAGAATTTTTTTATTATGTAGCTTGAACATTAACTAATTCTTAAAACTGTAACATTTCAACAAAAAATAAATAATAAGTACAGTTATATCTGTTTAAAAGATTAAAAGTATAATCAAAACGTTCAAACCAACAACTTGAAGACTGTTATAAATTACACACTTGATTATAATTTTTTATGTTGACATGAACAATAAATATAATTAATATATCTTATAATTTTAATATATCCTAGATGGTTACACTTTACATCCTCGATATAAAAAGGAAATTGTTTTAAATAATACTAACAATGCTATGCATTTATTAATTACAGCTCATCATAAGTCCACTTTAGCACACCGTCCATCTGATGGTAAGTGGATGCTGTGGTCCATAGACATCTACATTTATCCTCGATTAAGTACTAAGATGGAATGCCCCGTCTCCAGTTAAAAAGGATCTCTGGTTCTTTCTACACTTTTTGTCTTTAAAAATATGAATATTACTATTAATAGTACTGGAATAACTAATAACTATTTCTACACTATTTGTCTTTAAGAATATGAAAATTACTATTAATAGTACTGGAATAACTAATAACTATTTCTACACTATTTGTCTTTAAGAATATGAAAATTACTATTAATAGTACTGGAATAACTAATAACTATTTCTACACTATTTGTCTTTAAGAATATGAAAATTACTATTAATAGTACTGGAATAACTAATAACTATTTCTACACTATTTGTCTTTAAGAATATGAAAATTACTATTAATAGTACTGGAATAACTAATAACTATTTTTACACTATTTGTCTTTAGAATATGAAAATTACTATTATTACTGGAATAACTAATCTATTTCTACACTATTTGCCTTTAAGAATATGAAAATTACTATTAATAGTACTGGAATAACTAATAACTATTTCTACACTTTTTGTCTTTAAGAATATGAAAATTACTATTAATAGTACCTACTGGAATAACTAATAACTATTTCAACTTAACCTCTACAATTTTTAACCATCCGATTTGTGTTAGTTTGTGTAGAAATGACTACTATTTCAACGAGTGAGATACAAGAGGATATTCGGTAATCGATTCGCAATCCAGGCATTTTACATATTTGTAAAAAAAATTATTACCTTGGTATTTAACCTATTTAAAAAAAGGAATTTTATTTTTAGTTAAACGTTATTTTTTAAATTTTTTCTAGTATCGTAGAGGTAGTTTGTATACATACACAAATTTCAGAAGGACAAATACACCGGACCCGGAACAATAATTTGTAGGCCATAGAAATACTGGTTCCGAGCGGTATTCTAACCCATAGCCTTCAGCGCCGTAACTTATTGCTAAGCCACTGCGCCCCGGAGTCGTCGATAACTATAACTTTTGTGAACGCACTATTTCCGTGCAATGAATATTTATATTATGAGGGTAGGAGTGGTTTTCGCTTGCGGTTAAAAGCTGTAAACACTCCACCCACAACGTCGACACGCAAGTCTATACAGGATCGTATTATATTTGAGGTATCCCACGCCCACGCGTGAGTTAACCGTGATTTTTAAAGTATTACATAAAAATGCGTCGTTTTTATATAGAAGTGAAGGTGACAGACGAGCACACAATTCAATGGATTTTGATTTTTAATCGTGGATAAATGTAGATGTCTAAGTACCACAGTGTCCATTTACCATCACAGGTGAACTGTGTGCTCGTCAGTGGCGAAGCTTCTATACAAGCCCAAAAGCCCGGCTTGCCTCATTAAGATGAATCAATCAATTATATTAAGTAATAAAATAACTCGTAAACTGTTTCAAACTATTTCAAATTTCCCGCACACTCTCTGAGACCTCGTAGCCTTACGAATACTGCTGTCATACATATAAGGAGAGTTGAATTGAGCGATTGGTTTTCTCCCTCGCACTCGTGGGCTTTTTACCGGGCTTTCGAGAAGGCGATCGCTCCCTTTCTAACCTGTGGCAAAATATTCTATAGTGAAATATAACTACGATTGTATAAATAGCAATTAGTATGGAGCTAAAAAGCCCGGCTTTTTAGTGACCATTAATTTTTTCCTCAGAGCGGGACGCCTTTAAAATTATTATAGTTCTAACACTTTTGACTGCATTCTTGGTCTAATGGCAGTAAACGCAATTGCTGGTCATGTGGTCCCACGTTCGAAACCCGAGTCGGGTAAAGAATCATTTATTGGGTTTTTCCGTCACAAAATTCTCAGTAGCAGTAGTATTACACTTATTGTATATGTTAGTATTATACTACGCCATTATTAAAAATCAATCTGGAACCCTTTAATATAGTGCCTTTAAAGTAGTGAACTGCTAAAAACAACAAAACCATATTTTGGGCTTGCCCTAGTTTGGAGCCCTAGCTTCGCCACTGGTGCTCGTTTGTCACCCTTATTCTATAAAAAAAACGACATCTACAATCTACATATAGGTTCGATCCCTATAAAGATCCCAACGTATACAATACTTGTCACCGCTGAGGTCTAAGATGGAATGCGCTTTAATTCTTTACACGCACCATACGAAATACAGCAGCACTTTCTGTTTTAAGCAGGGCCTCTATGCGAGCGTGCTCCTTCTAACCGAGCCAACCCATTTATGTTGCAACCGCAATATTACTGGCCGTACTTTGTTAAACTAGATAATATTCCATTCTTAAACATTTTGAATAGTTTGGTGAATTAAATAATGAACGATGTTCTTTTAAGACCACTAGAAGTTGTTTTCTAGCACGAGTTCTTTGTTACACATGCTACATGCGACTGGGGGACCTTCAAGACCCTACTCCATTTTAAAAGGCCGGCAACGCACCTGCAATTCCCCTAGTATTAGAATAGTTCACGAGCGACGGTAATCACTGATCATTAAGTGAGCTGAATGTCCGCTTGCTCCTTCTATAAATAAGTGAACTGCGTAACATTTATTATCAACACAACGGAACGCCCGTAAACTATCAGATTGTACGTAAGGAAATAATTACTGAAGTACATGAATACATGAAACAACCATGGCGTGGCCAGTTCACTCAACAGTTATATAACCTTAATAGGTGTTTATTTGAGTCTTAAAGTCAAGCGCTACGAAATATACATAATTCACTCTTGTTTTTACGTCGTATTACTCTTTTTATGTCTAAAAATCCGTCTTGCTAGGTAGGTATCATCTTTTCACCTTTTGCTGTCGCCCATAGCAGTGCATTGTGCACTGCTCAGCTTCGGTCTGAAGGGTAAAGTGTAATAGTGAGGTGTGGCTGTGAGGCTTTCCCAACGCATCCGCGGCCTTCTTTATTTGAAGTTCGTTATAGGTGCACGTTGTTATTTTATTCAATCATGTTTTTTTATCAGGATTACCTACTATTGATACATTATTACATCTTTAATTAAAATATACAGTTGTTTGTAAATGTACAATCACTTAAAGGTAATCACAGCATGATATCAATTTACAAATTAGTACTATTTACCTAAAGAATTCTTAATTTTAAATAATTTCATATTTTATGAGTACGTCCGTGCGTACGTGCGTGCGGTGCGTGCGTGCGTGGCGTGTGCGTGTCGTGGCGTGCGTGTACGCGTGCGCGTGCGCGTGCGCGTGCGCGTGCGTGTGTGTGTGTGTGTGTGTGTGTGTGTGTGTGTGTGTGTGTGTGTGTGTGTGTGTGTGTGTGTGTTTGTGTGTGTGTGTGTGTGTGTCTTTTTACTATAAAAGTCCATTGCTGAACATTGGCCTTCCCAATATAGGGTTGATATAAGATATTGGATATTTTTACACTGTCACTACATGGAAAATCCCTTTTATGTCAAATTTAAATATGTGCATATTTTAACGCCCAAGTGTGTAAACTACGCAAATACAAATATAAATACTGATAATGAGGAATTTCATCTAATTTCTCATACAATTTTGCATTGGTTTTGGTCGTGGACTGCACAATAGCCACTAATCAAGTGAAATTTTATTTAAAAAATCATTATTTTCCTTACCGGTTTGACACCTTGCACACTCTTCGTCCCCTTGAGCTGCTTGACCCCTGCAGTGCGCGCCGCCGTTGGCCGGCGCCGGCTCGGTGCATGTTCGAGTCCTGCGCTTGCCATTCGTCTGTGACCCGCACCGACAAGGGGTCCAAGCCGACCAATCCGACCAGCCGCCGTTCACTTGGTAAGGAAACCATTGTTTAACGACAAATGAAAAACTTAAGTTAACCTAGAGAAAAATATATTACATTTATTTTCGTACGTTTCGTGATTACGTGAATTCTACTATCTTAGTGCAACAAAAGCCTATTTATATTCTTGGCTTGAAGACACGTATAACAATGTAAGCAGTAAGATATGTACCCACTTCCTATAGGGTTTGATGAGTATCCTGTCGTATACTTAGAGCCGCTTTCAAGAAAGTAAAGAGATTTTTAATTCCATTGCACTATATCCACTGGTTATTTTAATTTAATATAGACTTCAGTGGTGGATAAATTTGAAAACAGGGAATGAAATTTTTATTTAATTCTTATGTCTATTAGAAAGCTTATTTAATATAAAATAAATTTTAAAATAAATAATACTTATTAAGTCACTTTCATGTTTAATTTACCACTTATACTCTGCACTTATTTAGACTGCATACGAGCTTGTAATGTTAACTTAGGTGATTAACGATTAGCGATAACGATTAACTGAAGCAATTATGTATAAATGATTGTGTTTGATGCTTTAATTTTTTATCATAAGTCTAATTTTGATTGCGTTGACTTAGAAGCTTCATTTTTTACAACTGCAAAGGACTATGGGTTTTAGTTACCGCTACAGTCTATTTAAGTCCACTGCTGAACATAGGCCTTTCCAAAAGATTGCCTCATAGGGGGTGTATTTGCTATAGTTGGCACGCTTGGCAATCGGATTGGCAACCCCAGTTTTTTTATTGTTAGTCGTTATTAAGAAGACGCAGACAGGATGGTAGGGCGTAGTGAATATTCTTACATCGCCACTGCATGGTTCAAAGGTTTTGGTATTTAACATTAATTTCAACTTTATATCTCAAACCGTTGCTGAGCAAAAGGGACTTAACAAAGGGACAGGTGGATTAACGGACGGACTGACGAAAGGACAAAAATATGATCCTATAAGTATTCCTTTTTATTTAGAGGTAAAGATCCATAAAAATAAAATAAAAGTAAAGGTAAAGATCCATAAAACAACAAAGGCAAAATGTATAATACACTGTATCAAGTTACATTTTAATAGTGTCATCCACATCAACGCTTTTAAATATTATTTAAGTTCTTAAGCTTTCATTCTCTCCAAAGCATTGTAGTCTCAGATTAGCTTATTCTTCTAATACTTACAATAAGAAATACAATGTCCCATTGTAGTTAGTATCACTTTGCTATCGTATCAAATTCTTCTCACCATTACGATCGAATTGAATATGCAGTTCCATTTACGTTATGTTTATATTTCCATACAAATTAAGTTTTGTTATGATTATAGATATTCGAAAACTTGTGTTATGGGCACAGACTGTTTATTCACTTATTTTCATTTACGAAGAAATACGTTTGCCACTTATTTATTTATTTGATTAACAAATGTTAAACTTATACATATACTTAATTCTAAGACAGTAATATAAACTAAGTGCACATTCAATAGTTGGTAAACACCGCATGCTTAGTGCTCACAGTATTTCCTACAAGCCGTTACCAAATAGCTAGCTAAAAGTATACGAAAAAAAATTGTAATAAATTTTGTGCCGAAAACGTTAAGAGTCGTGAATCGAAGTCTGCAAAGTCTGGGTCTTGGACCACTATGTATGATCTGGGTATTGGGGAATTAAATCCTACTACAGTTCTACGAAGGGGTGGCGAAAGAGGAGTAACGAATTTACGATGATATCTACTTAGGATACGAAATATGATGTATTTTTATATGCTTTTCGTGTTGAAAAGGCAAAATGCCTTAAAAATCTTGTTTGTATAAGTTGAAGGCAAAGGTTGTGGGTAGAATAATGGGACGCCAGACTGTGCTATAATATTCTAATATAGAGAAGGGTAGTTTTTTTTTTGTGGTAACATTACGGAATACTTTACTATTTCTTATAACAAAACCTAATGATGATCTTTTAATAACACTTTACGAAAGAACACTTCGAAACATATATATCAGTGTAGGAAAGCAACACGAACATTCTAAGGGATAGACACGCAAGCATTCCATAGAGCAATATAAATCACAATAAGAACGCATTAAACATACCATAGACCGACAAAACCGCCACGTCGGACTCGCGTCGCCCGGCGATGTTCTCTGCTATGCAGCTGTAGTTGGCTATATCCTGCACATAGTATATTATTTATTATATTCATTCATACATTACAACCCATAAAAGTTCACCGCCGAACATAAGCCTCTTCCACAGATTGTCTCATATGGATGTTTGTCATAGTTTTTTTATTGATTAAGGGTGACAAACGAGCACACAATCCACCGTAAATGAATGCTGTGGCCCATAGACACCACATTTATTTTCGATTAAGAATCAAAACGCAGATGCCTTGTCACCCCTGAGGACTAAGATGGAATGCATCGTTTCTAGCAAAAAGTTTGTTGAAGGGTCTCTGGGTGTTTAAAATTGGGGGCCCAAAAAAGGGGGCCACCAACGTTTTTTTTTTTTAACTTGTGTATCCATGATATAACAACGAACGCTGCTGTATTAAGTATAGTGAGTTTAGAAAACTGAGGAACTTTAAAAAAAAGATAGACACAGTTCAGTAACAGAGTTACAGAAGCGCTTAAATTCTATCGGAGCCACATAAATCAGCCTTCAAGCAATCGCAGGACATAATTTAGTACCTACTTTATATTATATTAATTTAAATATAAAAATTATAATATTTTAAATTGTGTACATTCTAGTAGCTAACTAACTCTATGTTAAGTTCCTGTAGTCTATGACTCTTTGATGCTAAGTCTATATTAATATTAGTCTATGGTACAAACTGAAAGTCTATGGGCTGTCTCACATTTGTGCTAGACTTAAAATATATGAATGTGTTAACGCTATGTGTGCAAGCTCCGCAACTATAAAGACAATTAATGATAATGAGGCGTTCCATCTTAGTTCTCAGAGAGTCTTCCATAGAAACGGTATAACTGTAATGCTACTTCGTAGGCCGATTACGCTATCACTACTTACAATCAAGCTATCCTAATTTAAAAGTTTAAATAAATAAGTCAAAAAAATTAATATTGTATGATTTTAGAGACAAGTGAACTCAGAGTCCATATGATAGTGTCTACATCAGCCAATAGTGCCTAATCTATGTTGTGATGGCGTAAAGGGATCTAATATTTCATTTTCCCCGTGAATGTCATTGAAAAAACTGTGAGAAAGACCATGCGGCTAGAATACTAGGTACCTCTAAGAGTGAAGGAAGCTAAATGTATGTTAATGTAGGTGTCATCAATTACAAATCCTACACGGTTTTATGCGAGGTAAAGCCACGCTGCAGCTATAATATGGTTGTGCTAAAAATGGATCGGCTGCCCGGAAAAGGACCACGCTCTTAAAGAATACCAGCGTAAAATAGCAGCTCAATGCGGCTGCGTTTCGCATGGGAAGCATTCCATCTTAATCCTCGTGAGTCACAAAACATCTGCATTCTGATTCACAATCGACGATAATTGTTGGACTGTATTGTCGTTTGTCACCGTTATAAACAGCCTGTCATTATACTGTAAAGTCATAGCCTTTATATGTTTTTACTGTTGGATAGCCACCTCCTCACATTTCTATGAGGGTTATGGACAAATTAGTCAGCAACGCTGGCTCACGTGTCAAGAGACATCACATGTCTTCGACATATTTTTATTTATCAGACATGAAGGTTTCCTTACGATGTTTTGCTTTACCATCGACTACGTGGTAAAATAACACATAAAATAGTAAATAATAATATTATTGGTGTGTAGGGATCAAACCTCAAGCTACCGCGGTTTTTATTAAGTTCATTATACTAGTTTTCTTAATTTTCAAACTGGAACCCAAACGTGCCGTAATGCAGAAAAAATACGTTATAAAATGTTCGAACATCTAAGAAAAAACATACTATTTATACAAAACTGACAAACGAACAAATATTCCACCTGATAGTAAGTGGTTACTGCAGTCCATGGACATCTTTAGCCAATTTCATACAAAGAAGACTATAAATGCGTTGTTACCCCTGAGAAATAAGATGCCTCACAGTCTGAAATATATCTCTATAGAGAGCCTATTCCTGTCGCCAAACTATAATATATTGTATAGATTATACACTATAGTACTGCCTCGTTTGTCTAGTGGTTGTAGTAATGCGAAAGCTGATCATGAGGTCCTGGGTTCGAATCCCAAATTGAGCCAAAAAAAATTACACAGTCAAGAAATTCTCAGTAGCTGCCCGGAGTCAGAAAGTTGGCGGTGTCTCAACCGCGTGCCCCGGAAAGCACTTAAAGCCGTTGGTCCTGCGCCTGACCTCTTTCTGAGCATGTCGGTTTACCGTCCCATCAGATTATGAGAGTGAGGGAATAGAGAGTGCACCTGTGCTTGCGCATACACTTGGGCACTATAATCCTGTCCTGCGCCGATGGCTAGTATCCGTTGAGGCTGGCCGCAGTGACCGAAGTTCGGTCTGGAGGCTGGACGACATTATTATTCAGAAATGGGTAATATCGTGGAACCTAACCACACGGACCTTCAGACGGAAATGTAGTCTTAAAACGTAGTAGTAAACCTAGTACTTTTATTAAAACAGTTCAAAACGAAATCATTGGCATTAAATGTAACAGAGGTAGAGCCACGCGGCAGCTTCGCTGTCGCACGTATGGGCCGGCTCAAACCGGGGTGGTACCACGACCTCACAGAATACCGGCGTGAAGTGGAAGCTCTGCTTCCGCGTTTCGTCTGGTGAGTGCAGGTGGCCGGAGGCCCAAATCCCCCCCCCCCATCAACATGGTAGCGGAATTCAATGATAGACTACCCCAGGAGGGTACCAGCACCCCTGGAGAATCCCTCGCTGAGCATCCACGACCATGTTTTTCCACTTCTGAGCGTGGGTGCTCAGGCTGCCCCGCGTATTCTGGGGGGGCAAAATTCCGCTCAAGACTAAAACTGCTCGGGGCAAACGGAGCAACAAGACCAAGGCGACCCCTGCCACGCTGTCCGTGAATTTCTGCAATATCAGGGGACTTCACTCCAACCTAAACGCCGTCCACTACCATCTCGAGACGGCGAGGCCGGCTCTGCTCTTTCTGACCGAGACGCAGGTGTCCTCTCCGGCTGATGTCTCGTATCTCTCCTACCCGGGGTACAAACTGGAACACTCCTTTGTGCCTCGGGCTGGAGTTTGCGTTTACGTCAGAGAGGACATCTGTTCTCGACGCCTCGGCAGACTTGAAGGTTCGGACCTGTCCATCCTTTGGCTACGCGTAGACAGCGACGACCATCCGCGCGTCTACGGGTGCCTCTATAGGTCCCACAGCGGTAATGCCGAAACAGACCGACTCTTCGACCACGTCCAAATGGCTGCAGATTCGTTGCTACAGCAGATCCCCTCCGCAGAGATCGTGATCCTCGGCGACTTTAACGCTCATCACGCCGAATGGCTCGGTTCACGTTTAACCGATCATGCGGGGAGATCTGTTCATGATTTTGCCTTGGCATATGGTCTGACACAACTGGTTACTTCGCCTACGCGGATTCCAGATGTGGAGGATCATGCACCTTCCCTGTTGGACCTTCTGCTGACCTCTCACCCGGACGGATATCAGATTTCCGTCGACGCCCCTTTAGGCTCCTCGGACCATTGTCTTGTCCGGAGTGTGGTGCCACTCACGCTGAAATCGCGGTTGCATTCTGCAGGCTGCCGCCGTGTTTGGCACTATAGGTCAGCCGATTGGGATGGGATGCGGTCTTTCTTTGCATCCTACCCTTGGGGGCGGGTTTGCTTCTCGCCGGACGATCCCAACGTTGTTGCGGATTCTGTCGCTGATGTGGTACTTCAGGGTATGGAACTTTTTATTCCTTCCTCTGTGGTGCCCATTGGAGGCAAATCTCAGCCATGGTTTGGTCGCTCCTGTAAAATAGCATCATGCTATAAGCAGGAGTGCTACCAGGCCTGGGCTGACGCGTCAGCGTCCAGGGATGTAAACACCAGCGCTCTAAAAAAGAAGTATAATTCCGCCTCTAGGTCCTTCAAAAGAGTCATTGCCAAGGCAAAGTCAGAGCACATAGGCAGAATTGGCGAGAAACTAGTTCGTCTTCCTTCTGGAACCCGTACATTCTGGTCTCTCGCCAAGGCTGTCCAGGGGAATTTCTGTCAGCCATCTCTTCCATCTCTGCACAGGGAGGACGACTCACTGGCCCACACCGCAAAGGAGAAAGCCGATCTTCTAGGCTCTTTCTTTGCGTCTAACTCGACTCTCGATGACGGGGGGAGTACGCCGCCGACCATCCCGCGGTGTGAGTGCTCCATGCCGGAAGTGCAGTTCACTCAGCGCTCGGTTCGCAAAGCACTCCTCTCCCTGGACATCCACAAGTCGAGTGAGCCTGACGGAATCCCCCAATTGTGCTGAGGACGTGTGCTCCAGAATTGGCACCGGTTTTAACGCGTTTTTTCCGGTACTCCTACTACCTAAGCGTAGTCCCAAAATCATGGAAGACGGCTTTCGTCCACCCGATCCCTAAAAAAGGCGACCGCTCAGACCCGTCCAACTACCGGCCTATCGCCATCACCTCCTTGTTCTCCAAAACAATGGAGTCCATTGTAAACTGCCAGCTCATGAGGTACCTTGAGGATCACCAGCTGATTAGTGACCGCCAATACGGTTTTCGCCGTGGTAGGTCAGCTGGTGATCTTCTGGTCTACCTAACTCACAGATGGGCGGAGGCAGTAGAGTCCAAGGGGGAGGCATTGGCCGTTAGTTTGGACATTGCGAAGGCCTTCGATCGGGTTTGGCACAAAGCGCTTCTTTCGAAGCTCCCTTCCTATGGGCTTCCCGAGAAACTGTGCGATTGGATCACCAGTTTTCTTGCAGATCGGAGCATCAAGGTCGTTGTAGACGGTGCAAGCTCCGATTGCAAGCCTATTAATGCTGGTGTTCCACAGGGCTGCGTGCTATCGCCAACGCTGTTTCTTCTGCATATCAATGATATGTTGCAGACCCGTAACATTCATTGCTATGCAGATGACAGCACTGGTGATGCTCTTTACACCGGCCGAGCCAATATTTCTCGGGAGAACGTCTCCGAGTGCCGGGACAAACTTGTGTCTGAAGTCGAGTCTCTGCTGGACAGAGTCTCGGATTGGGGGCGACTAAATCTAGTCCAGTTTAACCCCCAGAAGACACAAGTTTGCGCGTTAACCGCTAAAAAGAACCCCTTTGTCGTATCCCCTCAGTTTCAAGGCACTCCCCTTGTTGCCTCAGCCAGTATCGGAATCCTCGGCGTCGACATATCGAGTGACGTGCAGTTTCGTGGTCACTTGGAAGGGAAGGCCAAATTGGCCTCTAAAAAGCTTGGCGTGCTCAGCAGAGCGGGACAGTATTTCATGCCGGCACACCGCCTGCAACTTTACAAGGCGCAGGTTCGGCCGCACATGGAATACTGTTCCCATCTCTGGGCTGGGGCTCCCCAGTACCAGCTCCTTCCACTTGACCACATCCAGCGCAGAGCGGCTCGAATCGTCGACGACCGAGTGCTTTCCGATCGGCTCGATTCTCTGGCACTGCGAAGAGATGTTGCATCCCTTTGCATTTTCTTTCGCATATACCATGGAGAGTGCTCTGAGGAATTGTTCGGATTAATCCCAGCCGCCAAATTTCGTGAACGCACTACGCGGCAAACGTCCCGATACCATCCACACCATCTGGATGCTTGGCGGTCCACCACTGTACGTTTCAAAAGGAGTTTTCTTCCGCGTACAACCTCTCTATGGAATAATTTACCACCAGCGATTTTTCCGGACCGATACGACCTGGGGACCTTCAAGAAAAGAGCTTACTCCTTTCTAAAGGGCCGGCAACGCATCTGCAATTCCCCTGGTGTTGCAGTTGATCATGGGCGGCGGTAGTCACTTAACATCAGGTGAGCCACATGCTCGTTTGCCCCCTCTTCTATAAAAAAAAAAAAATGACTGTAATATTTTACCTGTAAACCGACTTTGGGAAGTACCAAAGCCTCATCTGTAGCTTCGATGGTGACTCCATTCCTCGTCCACTTGATGGTCGCGGGTGGCGCGGCGGGCGGTGGGCTACACCTGAAGATGACCTGTCTCCCGGCTTCCACAGTCGCTGACTGTGGTTGTTGCGCAAATTGCTTCTTTATGTCTATGCAACAAAAGTTTTCGTTATTTGATAATATCTGAAGGTTTTATCTGAAGTGAAATAGTGTTTTGAACTAAAAATGTAATCTGTCTCTATCTACCACATAAAGGCAGAATCCTACGTCGTAACTGCTGACTTCACGTTGACTAACTACAAGGATTTACTGAGAAATTGGTTTGTGTTTTTGCACATAAAATAAAAGAGATACCAAACATGTTTGATGTTATTATGATTAAAATTAGTGTTCGTAACCTTAGAGAAGCTTACATAAAATTATTGAATCCCATGTTTTCATATACATTTGTTTCAGCAGCCCACAAAAGTTTATTGCTGGACATAACCACTTGCCGTTACATTTTCCTCTTTGGATCTGGATTGACGATTGGATTATCAGGAGTCTCGCAGAGTTTACGCTGCTATCCGTTACCAGTCTGGGTATTTTTGTTCTGGCATTTAGAAGATGGCTAGAACGCCATACTCTATGGATGATTATAATGCCATCTTCTATAGGTAGCATTACAGTCAGCATATATTGGATTTTGATGGCAGGACAAAGTCAGGAGACGAATTTTCTTATCAGTATAGTACATTTCGTCATGCGTACCGGTAAATTCGGATCAATCATTCAAATGGATCATTTCGGGCTTCAGTACCATACACTGAAAACAATTCATACAGATCATTCGGGATTCTGTCGGTTGTCGACTCATTCACAATTCAGACCAATCACGGATTAAAAAGGTTCCGTCGATTGTTTGTGATAGGTTGTACCGGAACATGCAAAAACAGATGAATGAACCAGCAATACTTTTAAGTGTACCAGCTCAAACGAACGAATCATTCATAATAGACTCATGTCTACCACACGGCATCTTCACATATAATATTAAACATTTTTATAATGTTAGAGTGACAGACAGTCCATCTGCTTTTAAGTGGTTACTATACCCCTTGAAAACCTGCAACCAACTTTAAACAAAGATGGCTACTGATGTACTTCGACGTGGAATTTTAATATGCACACAAATACAACTTACAAAGACGACTGTTTGTTACAAGCACAATTTAAAGAAGTAATATATGGTGCCTACATTTAATATTACAACTTAAATATATTTAAAGTTGCCAACAAGCAGTGTAATTTAGGTTTGTATACATTTCAGACCCTAAACACAGCATTGTTTACTCCACTGTTTAGGGGCAAAAATACTTAAGATACACTGACCCTGATGCACTGTACGGAGGATCATACTACTACAGAAAAGATTCGTAGCAATTAGTACATATAAGTAAATATAAAGTACATATACAAATACATACATGAATTCATTATGTTTTCACTATATAAAACTGTAAGATATTCAATGATTACAATCTAAAGTCTCATCGCAACCTATTATTGTAAACACGATAAAAGAATAACAAAGTCAAGCTTCGAGTGAGAATATCCAGCATTCTTATTACTATACCAGAAAAGTTCCTTCGTAAATGTTCTTCTTGCCTTAATCTGTTGCTTCAGAGTTGTAGCGTCACAAAAACTTTGCTCTTAGGAAATTCATGCCATCAAGCTTTGTTTTCATAAAATCTTGCAAATCTCTAAAATCAATAGAGTTTTGTTGAAGACAAAATTTCAGGTTGTGTCGATATAAAATTTTTGCTTACTAACCAAACTTTATTAAATTTATTAAGGTTATTAATTTTTAAAACTTTCTTAAGCTTTTTAACTTTTTTCTTCGAAATTTATACCATAAAAGAAAAGACTATAAAACTACTTAAATTTCCATTTCATCTACAAATATCATAACATAAAGTGATATAAAATATATATAAGCTACGGCGATAAAGTCAATCTAAGCCCGCCTGAATATTGAAACGCTTCACTTAACAGGCACAACTGTTACGTCGCTTCTCGCCCTAAAACATCCAAAATAAAAGCTAGTGAGCATTTATCAAATGGCAAAGTGCTCGACTTAACGAGCGGAAATAATGTTTCCTCTATTTAATGGTTCCGTTTCATACCGACCCCTCCGAAGACGCGGGATGATAGAGTAAAAAACAACTCGTTAAAAATTATTACATTTATAAACGGTTACTTTAGAAAAGGTTGAGGACACCGGCGCGAAGGTATTTCATTGCGTAGCTGTTATCTGTAAACGTAAAGTTTTACGATTTCTTAAATTTCTTTTAAGGGTTATTTAAGCTTATTCATTTCCATAAGCAATAGCAAGATTTTCTTTATAAAATGTAGTTTTTTTTTAATTTGCAAAGCATCCAAGTGATAAATCCTTTAGCGTGACAGATGAACAAATTATTAAGTTTAGCTAATGTTTTCTATTCCGTTTCCGTGAACTATTATATAATTTATCATCATCGAGTTAATAATTCCCTATCATTTTTTTTTAAATTGATAGGGGCGTACTCCGATGGTTTGGGCACGTTGAGCGAGTGAGTGATAACCGAATGGTGAAGAAAATATATAGCGCGAAAGTAAATATTAAAAGGTGTCGAGGTAGACCGAGACTAACTTTCGAAGACCATGTGAGCAAATTACTCGAAGAGGGGAAGGTCAAGAGTACTGGGATACCTAGACGTGCATGTATGAAGAAGATAATGAACCTGAAAGAAGCGAAAGAGGTATGTAAGGATCGTGACACTTGGCGATCTGTTCTCTCTGGCTACCCCGTTAGGGATTGTGCGTGAAGATAAGTAGGTAAGTAAGTAAGAGTTAATAATTCCACACATACAAACATATACATTTATTTTACATAAGTACTGATTATAAGGATGTGAAAAGTCTATTTAACAGTAACAAACCAACTTGTAAAATTTCGAATATAACTATATTGAACATAATATTAATTAATTCATTATTTGCAGCCTATCAAAATTAGATTGCTAAACATAGGTTTTCCTCGTAGATTACCTCAAAGGGGGTATATTTACCATGGTTGTCTCGCTTGACAGGCGGGGATGATATGGGGTAGTGAATTCGCACGACGATATTAAAACTTATAATGTAAAAAAGACGTTACCTCCACACTATAATTATCTTTTGTGTCATGAGGGTAATTTAAATACATAAAATTCACAAGGACAAACATCCAGACCAAGAACAGCTATTTGTAGACCACACATACTCGCTTTGTGCGCGATTCGAACCCGCGCTGCAACTCATTGCGCCGTCAAGCCACTGCGCCGCGAAACCGTCTAAGTGACATATAACGTAGGACGTTATCAAAATTTTCTTATTTAAAGTACTAGCTTAAGTAAATGTTTAACTTATTTTAACTTATTCACAATAATTCACTCTACCCGGTATTTTCTTTAGAAATCCGGTCAATGTCATTAACGTTGCATTCCCCCTTGGCATGGGGTATCTATTTGTAGACAATGGGAGACATTTAATTGTCTCCGTACTATTTTTGCCCGTATTATACGAAGGTTCAGCGCTATTTAAAATCGCATCAACACAAACCGGACGGCTTATTCATGAGAAATGAACTCAAACCTGTAAACTCGTTTTGTAAAATCATTCACACATTAATTATTGGAAATGTGATTCGCTTCATTAATTTGTATTTCTTATTGTGTGCTTTTGAAGCGTGAATCGAATAAACAGTTTTTTTTTTTCAGAGGCGTTGCACCTCAATAGCTTTGTGGTCAGCAAATATACACGTAAGATTGCCAATTCTCGTAGGCATTAACGAGAAAAAAGTAACAGCTAAGCTGGAGTGATGACCTGGTAAGATATGTAGAAAGTCGAAGGATGCACTCGAATTAGAAGAATGTTTTATGTCATTTCTTGAGGGTGTAACAAGTCCTTTTAATAACAGTTAAAAATAAATTTAAAGTTAAACTTATCACTAAGCTAAACTTATACGTGTTAGAGTCACGCTGCAGGTATATTATGGTTGTAGCCATCCACTTATCATCAGGTGAAATGTGTGCTCGTTTGTCACCCTTATTCTATTTAAAAAAAACATGCCGTCTTACTCCCTGTGGTATTGTTCCAAGAACGCAGGCTACAGAACAGAAACCAACGCTATTGTCTCCAGCAGAGACAAGCAGTCGCCGATACAGTTGCTTTAGAAACGTCACCGGCGCGTGGACTCCTTCGACGCGGCTACGAGTACAGCAAATGGCACAAATATTTAGTCGTCTACCAGAAACTCATATTAGCCTTATTTACTAAGTTCTATTGTTTCTGATGTCATTCTTACAGTAAAGCACACTAGTGCTAACCCTCTCCCAAGGAAACAAAGTCATACTGCCGGGTCTACTAACTGCTAACGTCTCTAAATATTCCACAAGGCTTTTAAATCTAAGAAACATTTATAGAAATTAGAAGCCCTACGGATAACATCCTACGGAGAACCGTGACGAGACAAGAAAATCCGTGGAGCCCAAACGCTTCGATGCCGCTACCACAGAGGCACCGAGGTGGTTGACAGATCGCGACTAGTCTATGCGCAAGCTTTTCCCGCCAAGTAATGCGTCGAGGTTATTCTGTGGTGGAGCATAATCAGTGACTAGACTCGAGTAGAAACAGCTAGAAGACGAGTGCGAACTTGATCAATAAGGAAATTATAAAACAGAATAAAAAAACAAGTGCTTCTACTCTTATTACCAAACCGAAGTAAAAAACGAAACAGTCTGACATCAATAAGTGGTTACGCGTTTTCACCTTTGAGGAATAATATGGAATGCCTCAGAGGCTTTAATGTTGGAAAAGCTGTAATAGGTGGTATAGGGTGGTACCCACCCAGACGGACTCTTAGATCGAAGGGAAGTCCTACCATCTAGATAAATTTGTTAACAAAGTTTTAATTTAAGGGGATAAATCGAGATATAAAAAGTATTATTTACAAACATTATATTTTCCTTTTTTACGTGGTGGAGTCAATTTGCATTATATTATTGCATTTGAATCAGCTCGACTGATGAACGACCACGCTCGCACAGAACACAAGCGTGAAATAGCAGCACAATGCTGCCGTAATGTT